GAGAAAGTTCAGGAATGTGGTTAAAGCTGGGAACCATCCTGCTCTGCCTACACCGTCAGATTGTTCCATTCTGATGGGCTCCAGCACTTTTTGGGGCAAAGAACCCCATTAATCCCTGCCCTGAGCTTGTGGCAGAGCAGGAATTCCTGTTTTCCATGATTTTCCAGCACCAATCCAACACCAGCAGCCACATTCCCGGAGTCCACACTCTTCCCTGAAAGCTGCACAAAGTCAGAGGGGCTGGAGCTCCCTGCCTGGCTCTGCTGGAGCTCTGTCTCTTCCCATCTTGGGATGCTTTGGGGCTGGAATAACCCCCTGGAGAATCTCCAGGGCTCAATTCTCTCGAATTTTCTTGGCTGGTGACTCTCCCTGGCATCACCTCATGCTGTGGTGAGAAAGTTCAGGAATGTGGTTAAAGCTGGGAACGATCCTGCTCTGCCTACATGGTCAAATTGTTCCATTCTGATGGGCTCCAGCACTTTTTTTGGGGCTAAAAAGTGCATTAATCCTTACCCTGAGCTTGTGGCAGAGCAGGAATTCCTGTTAACTGGGACACGTCAGCGCTGATCCCAACAGCAGCACCTCATGGAGGTTTCAAACCAGGGGCTGCTGCTCCCAAAGTGGGTCAGGTCACCCCGAAGACAAAACAGAATTGTTTGTTTATATTCCTGGAGTTTGCAAATATAAAGATAAAAAAAATAACTGGGACACGTCAGGTTTCCAAGCAGATGAATCTCCCTGTGGCTCTCCATTCCCAGGAGAATCCAGGCTGGACCCTTTTCCAGGGATCTCCTGAGGCTGGCACTGCCTTGGAGCTCAGGATGGGGCTGGGAAAGAGGTGCAGACTCAGAGTTAAATTTGTATTTTGGGGCATTTTGGGTGTTTTTAAGAAAGGATGGGATGTGCTGGGAAGGGGCTGGTGCCTGTCCTGTGGGATGGGGAATTGATTCCCACGTGGAATCTGTTTTTCCTATGAGGATCTGGCACCCAGACTTGCCAAGAAAAGCTGTGAGGACATAAAATTCCAGCTGGCCGTGCTGCAAATAAGATTAAAATCAAATCAACCATTTATATTTGCTCTGATTCCTCTTCTAAAGCCTTTATAAAATGCCATAAACCAGGGCCTTTTCCTTTCCACATTGAAAATCATGGAATGGTTTGGGTTAGGAGGGACTTAAAATCATCCATGGGCAGGGTTCCACTATCCCAGGGTGCTCCAAGCTGGCCTTGGACACTTCCAGGATGGAGCAGCCACAGCTCCTCTGGGAATTCCATGTTACGGAAGAAAACCACAATTATCTGATGCTGAACACGCCAATTTTTAAAATTTTAAATTTTTTAAAACAAAATAACTTTGAATTTGCTGCTCCATGGCTTTGGCCCAGAGCTGCTGGTGGGGAGGATAAACCCCTGAGCCAGGTGGTGCTCAGCTGTTAGAGAAACTGGAGATTTGCAAAGTGACAAAAATGTAAATACAAACCCCTGGGTCCAGGAGATAAACCCCAATTTGGGTGCCCACCTCGCAGCTGGGCACTGCTGCCTTATCAACCTGGCTGCAGCTCCTGGGTCTGGCAGCTCCTGCGTGGTGAGGGCTTGGATAAGGAGCTCCAGGTGCTCCTTATCAGTTGGGAGGTGCTGCAGGGGCTGTGGGTGCTGCCCCAGCCCACCAGAGCCCCCCACTGCCTGGATTCCTCCTTTCTGCTGGAATTGCTGGCTCTGGGCTCTGTTCCTGCTGTGCCACAGCTGCTCCAGGCTGCAGCAGGGAGGTGCTGCCCCAGCCTTGGGGCTGTGGCTGATTCCTGGATTTATCTGGCTGCTGGCACAGAGAGGGTGAACTCTGGGGATTCTGCTGGGGTGTGGATGATAAATTTGTGGATTTGTGGAATGGTTTGGGTTGGAAGGAGCTTAGAGCCCATCCAGTGCCAGCCCTGCCAGGGCAGGCACAGCTCCCACTGTCCCAGGGAGCTCCAGCCTGGCCTTGGGCACTGCCAGGGACCCAGGGGCAGCCACAGCTCCTCTGGGAATTCCATCCCAGCCCATCCCCACCCTCCCAGGCAGGAATTCCTTCCCAAATCCCACCTAACCCTGCTCTCTGGCAGCGGAAGCCATTCCCTGGGTCCTGTCCCTCCGAGCTCTTCCTGCTCAGCAAATTCCCAATGTCCAGGGCTCTTCCTGCAGCACCTGCAGAGGGATGGGAAAATAAAATCCTGGAATGGTTTGGGTGGGAGGGGACCTCCTGCCACCCCTGCCATGGGACGCCTCCCACTATCCCAGGTGACTCCAAGCCCATCCAAGTGGCCCTGGACACTCCCAGGCTGAGGCTGCTGCAGCCCAAATGTGGTTTTAGCTCTGCCCTTCCCTGTTTCCCTGCTCCCATGGAATGTGGGGCTCGTGGAGCACCCAGGGAGCTCCAGGATGGGATGAAGGGAGCAGAGGGTGGGAAGGGAGGAGTGAGGGAATCCCTGCACAAGCCTGGTCTCAAAGGAAGCTTTTCCAGGGAAGCTGAGCTCCTTTTGTCCAGGGATGGCAGAAATCCCTCCCAGAGCCACAGGCTGCTCCTTTTCCTGCTGCTGCTGGCCACAACCTATGCATATTATGGGAATCTTCTCTCAAACTTTAAACATTTTCTACAAATTTATTTCCCAGCTGTCAGCCCCATTTCCCTGGCAGAAATCATGGATCATCCCATCCCACCGCCAGGAACAGGGGAAACCCCTCAGGCTGAGCCTCTGCTGTGGCTCCCTGAGCTCTGGAGCACAAGGATTCTTCACGGCACCACTCCAGGGTTAAAATGTAACCTGGAAGCAGAACTCCAGCCTGGCCCAGCTCATTATCAGGGAGCAACACCTGAGAGTGCAGGAGAAAGGGCTCATTAAGGTGACTCTAATTCCCCCTCCCTGCCCTGCCACAGGCACGAGAAGGAGATTACACTTCTTGCTCAGGGAGAGGAAAACCTTGATAAACCCTGTGGAGCAATCCTGGGAAATGTGACTCTGCCAGTTTTATTTCCTTGGATCACAGCAAGGGAAGTTCCTGTGCCCGGTTTGGCCTGGGGATCATGGTTCTCTGCTGGAATTACAGGTGTGGATGTGGCTCTCCAGTTTAAATGTCATTTAATATGGAAAACACAGTACCAAACCCTGCCAGCAGCACAGGTTTGGTCTCTCTCCAAGGAAATAAAGGTGTGATAATCCCGTGGCTTCTCCCAGAGGGCAAGAAGGGGAGATTTGAGCAATTCCTGGGTTAAATTTGTGTTGTGGAAGGGTTTTATGCTCTCAGCTTTGCACAGGTCTCAGGGCAGGGGGATGGCTGGGACACCCCGGGGCAGCAGCTGGCTGTCACCTCCAGCTCTCCCTTCCTGGAGAAGTGTTTTGCCAAGTGCAGGAAATGCTGCCAGGTCCCCAGAATCAATCAGGAGCGAGTCCCATGCGTGACAATGTCATTTATTGTTGTTTTCTCCAGCAGCGTCGTGTTCCCACGGGGAACAGAGAATTCCCAGCACAAAAAAGGGAAGGAGGAAGGAGAACAGCTCGTTCCAGGCACCCAGCACCTCTCCAGGTACCCAGGATGTGACCACACCTGGATTTTCTCACCTCGTGTGTGTTCATTTCCAAACCCAACACTTCCTTTTCCTGCTTTTTCCAGGTTCTGAGGGTGGTTTTCCTCCTTCCCAAGGCCCACACAGCAACAAATTGCCCTGCAGTATCAGAGGAATGGTTAACCTTGATTTGAGCTCATGCAACACCTCCTTCCCTGCAAGGTCGAATTCCAAATAATCCTTTGGAGAGGAATGAAATAAAAGTCAGGGCTGCTCCCTGAGCCAAAAGACTTTGCCTCCTTCTCCTGGAGAGCACCAAATTCACCTGGCTTGGGTTGGTTTCATGGTGGAATGAGGAAATCATGGAAAATATGAAGGAAGAGAAGCATTTTTGGGGAGCAGGGGCACAAGCGGAGCTCACTGCTCCCGCACACGAGGAGTGGGATCTGCAGGAGGGACAGGGATGCTGTGGATCCCTTCTTCTCAAAAGAAAGGAAGGGCAGGAAGTTTTCCTAAGCCCTTCCAGAAGGTTTTGTCCCCCACAGCGAGGCACAGCCCAGGCAGGGGAGTGGCTGTGGCACCACAGGAGGGGACTGGGGACAAAGACACCCCCAGGATGCCCCACAAAACCCCAAATAAACCCTGTTCTGGGCAGCTCCCCTGGATCAGCAGCAAAGGAGCTGAGCACAGCCCCTCTGGGCACAATTTGGGGCAGCTTTGGGGGCAATTTGGGGCTGCTTTTGGCACAGTTTGGGGGACAGTTTGGGGCTGCTTTGGGCACAATTTGGGGCTGCTGTGGGGACCCTGCACGGAAAACAGCCCCTCTGCCCATGGAATCTCCATCTCCAGGTCTGACTGCACCTTGCCCTGCCTCACCGGGGGTGACTGCAGGGGAACACCCCGGCACGAGGGTGCCCGTCCCGGCACGAGCGCTGAGTGCGAGCTGTGAGGGGCGCTCCCGTTCTCCCGGGGGCCGCGGGACACGCAGCGGTGACACCCCGCGAGTCCCAGCCGTGTCACCATCCAGCAGCGACTAAAACCTCTCCGACAACAGGACTTGCTACATCTCCGCTTTCTTCCCCCCCAGCTTTCCCCGTGGCACACACCGCGTGGCCAGCACACCTGCCGTCCCTCAGGCAGACACAAACCGCCGCCGCCGGCCCGTGTGACGCCGCGCTGGCCGCTCCAGGTGACAGTTACCCGCTCCGCGGCCGCGTCCCCCTCAGCGCCGCCGCCACTGCACACCAGCCCTCACGGCTACGCCCCGCCCACCCGCTACTACAGCCAATCACAACCCTCCGCCTCTCCCCTCTCACTTTCCATTGGTTAATATTCTTGCCAATCATTTTCCCGCCCAGAGATGTCACGAATGTGCGCCGCGCTGATTGGTGAAGCCGGGATGGGCGTGGCGAGCGCGTCTTTAAAGGAGGTTGGGCGGCGCGCGGTCCCAGCGCCCCCCCGGCCCCCTCGGTACCGGTGTCCAGCGTCCGGCCCGGCCCGTGTCCCCCGGTGCCGGCGCATGGAGCTGAGCTGTGCCATGGCGGGCAGCGCCGCCGCCCCGCCGGGCCCCGGGCCCCCCGCCGCCGCCGGGGCCGGGCTGAGGGACGGCGAGGAGTACGAGAGCCTGCCCAGCAGCGTCGCGCTCGGCACGCACATGGTGGCCGGGGCCGTGGCGGGGATCATGGAGCACACGATCATGTACCCCGTGGACTCGGTCAAGGTGCGCGGGGACAGAGGCGAGCGGCGGGGCAGCCGGGCACGGGGGGGCCGGGCAGCCCGGGATGGGCCGGGGGACACGGGAGGGGCGGCCGGGGATGCTGCAGGGAGCGGGGCAAGGCGCGAGGGGTGCGGGGGGACAGGAACAGGGGAGGGTGCAGCGGTTAGTGGGGTGCGGGAACTTCTGGGGTGCAGGAAAAGGGGAGTGCGAGAGGTGTGCAAGGGGTTTGGGCGTGCAAGGAGTGCTGGGGGTGCGAGGTTTCTTTGGGGTGCAAGAGGGGAGTGTGCCAGGGGGTGTTGGGGTGCAGGGAGAGGGGAGTGTGAGAGGTGTGCAAGCGTTATTGGGGTGCAGGAAAAGGGGAGTGCGAGAGGTGTGCAAGGGGTTTTGGGGGTGCAAGGCTTTTTCGGGGTGTAAGAGGGGAGTGTGCAGCCGGTTATTCGGGTGTAAGAGGGGAGTGTAAGAGGTGTGCAAGGGGCTGTTGGGGTGCAAGAAGGGGAGAGAACAGAAGGGTGTGCAAGAGGTTTTGGGGTGGAAGAAGAGGCGAGGTGTAAAGGGTGTGCAAGGAGCTGTTGGGGTGCAAAGGGGAAGTGTGTAAGCAGTTGTTGGGGTGAAAGGAGTGCTGGGGGTTCCAGGAGTTGTTGGGGTGTTAGGGACGTGTAAGAGTTTTTGGGGTGCAAGGGAGGAAAATCTGCAAGAAACTGGGGTGCAAGGGGGGGAGCATGGAGGGGACATTGGGGCACAAGAAAGGTGGGGATGTGTAAGGGCTCTTGGGATTCAGATGGGTGAAGTGTCCATGGAATGTTGGGGTGCAGATGGGCAAAGTGTCCATGGAATGTTGGGGTGCACGTTTTGGGGGAGGTGTCCATGGAATATTGTGTGAGGTTCCCGAGAAGGCTCAGGGAAATCCTGGACGTGTCCTGCAGCCCCGGGGAGCTTTGCACAAGCGCTGGTGCAAAGGTGACGCCCGGTGCTGCTCCCTGGACTGGGAGATGCCAACCCGGTGCCAGCAGTGCCCTGCTGGAATCCCTGGGACTGGGATCAGGAGCTCCTTGGGCAGCTTTTCCCTCCCGGAGCTCAGGGATCCAGCTCAGGAGGGAAGAGCTGTTGGGATGGGGCGCTGTGGCCACGCCGGGGTGGGTGAGTGGCTTTGTTGGGGTCAGGCTGCTTGAAGAGGAGCTGCCCGGTGGATTTTGGAGCTGATGATGCTCGAACACACTCAGGAAAGGCTTCCCAGTGTCTCCACACTGTGGGAATCATCCTGAAGGGTGTTTCCTCCCTCTGCCCTGCCAGTTTGCTGCTGCGGGGCCTTCAAAAGAAGAGGGAAAGCTGGGAAAAGCCAAACTCCCTCGATGCTGGCGTGGATGAATCACGAGATGTTGCAATCCCTTCTCCTTCTCGTCCAGGGCTCCCCGAAAGAGTAGAAAGGGCAGAGCAGAGGAAATGCCTTGGCTTTTGCAGCTCCTGCCAGTGTTCAAGTACTCAAAGGAAATATTCCCGATTTTTTTGCCCTGTTTGCCCTCTGGGTCTGTCCCTGCTGCACCTGGCTCACAGATTTGGGGTGTCCCCGCTGGCTGTGGGGTTGGTGCCCACCCTGAGCGTGGCACCAGCTGCTGGCACGAACAGATGAGGTGTTTTGTGCCCAGTCACGGCCGGGGCAGCTCCGTGGGTGTTGTCCCTCCGGAATTCTGCAGTTCTTTCCTCCGCGGGGAGAGCAGAGCCAGAAATGAAAGCGGTGCCCGGCTTCCTGGAGTGGGAGGCGCTTTGGAGGAAAAACTCCCCGCGCTGTGCCTTGCCTGGCCGCGGCAGGGCCGGGCTGGGCTGGGCTGGGCTGGGCTGGTCCCGCCGGCCGAGTGCCCGCAGCGGATCAAACCCTCCGGCCAGGGTCCCTCTGTGCTGGGACACAGCGAAATCCCGCCGGGATCTGCTCCTGCCCTGGCCACTCACCTGTCCGCTGTGGGCAAAGGTACAACTGACCCCAAAAAGGGAGGTTTTGAGCCTTACAGAGGTTTGTTTTCTTGTGGTGGGTGTAATCCAGTAACAGCTCAGCTCTTTCGCTGTGTTGTGGCAGAGGGGCCGCGTTCCTGCAGAAAAGGAGCAAAGCTTTTTCCTCACTGGGACTTCCTGGGGCAGAGGTCCAGGCTGGAGGAGGTTGGGATTTTCTGCAGGTGCAGAAGGAGCACCTGGGCAGCTCCTGCTCTGAGGTTCCTCCTGTCTGCCTTCCAGCGAGTCGTTTCCTCCCAAAGAGAAACTGAAAATGTCGTAATTTGGGGAATTGTTTGCTGCAGACACTTGCACAACCCCTGAGCTTGATGGGGTCACGGAATCCCAGAATGGTTTGGGTGGGAGGGGACCTTAAAATCCCCTGGGGCCACCCCAGGGCAGGGACACTTCCCACTGTCCCAGGGTGCTCCAACCTGCCACAGCTCCTCTGGGAATTCCATCCGTCCTTCCCTCGCAGGGAAGAATTCCTTCCCAATATCCAGTTTAAATCTACACTCTTTTCCTCCCCATTATTTTCCAGTGTTGAATAAATAATAATGTTTTTTTTTTTTTTTTTTTTTTTTTTACCATTCCGCAAAGCCCCCTTGAGCTGCAGCCTCACCTGCACTTTCCCTCTGCCTCTCCCCCTCAGCTCCAGTTGTTTGGACACCCTGGGCTGGGCTTTTGCTGGTGCTGAGGGTGTTTCTCACACGTCTCAGGCTTGTTTTTGTTTGTGGCTGCTGCAAAAAAAAGCTGTGCTGGGAGCCCTGATCCATCCCCAAATGATCTGGAGGGATCAGCATGTCAAGGACTCCTGATGGCAGCAGAAAAGGAGTTTCTGGAGGGTTCCCCTGGAGCATCCTCCTCCTGCCCTGATCCTTTTGGTGATTTTTCTGCCGGAGCTGGTTTCCCAAAGGCTGTGAAAACAAAGGATGGGATCCCCTTGGGGATGTGAGGAACAGTTTTGCTCCCCTGGGGATTAATTAATTGCTGGGGGGAGAAACTGGAGGCGTGCAGGGCTGGCACTCCCTTCTGGCAGAGGGTGCCAATGGCTCTAGGGACCAAAAAAATCCTTTTTCATGAAAACCTGGCCTGCCTTTGGAGCTTCCATGTGGTCACAAAGGTCCTGGAAGCCCAGCTGAACATCTGAGGGAGCAGGGCTGTGGATTCTTTGGGGTGTGGTGGTGGGAGATTCTGCATCCCCCCATTTCCAGCTGCTCCAGGAGGAGCAGTTCCTTGTGTTCCAGCTGAGGGGGAGTTTTGGAATGTTGGGAATTCCTGGATACCCTGCTGGACTGACCCTCTGCTCCCCTCCCATGGGTGTGCTGCTCATCTGGGGGCTGTTCCAGCTGAACTCCCCCAAAACTGGGGTTCAGAGCTTGAGCCTGGCTTGTGCCTTGTCCTGTTCCAGCTGAACTCCCCCAAAATTTGGGTTCAGAGCTTGAGCCTGGCTCGTGTCTTGCCCAACTGGCAGGATCTGCTGGATCCCTGCAGAAATGCTGCTGATTTCTTGCTAAAAGCACTTTGTGTTCCCTTTGTGCACCTCTGTCACTTGAACCTGGGAAAAGCAGGTTGTGCTCAGAGAAAATAAATAAATAAACCCCAAACAAAAGGCAAACGAGGTCTGGGGGTGTTTGTAGGGTGTCAAACCAGTGACCCTCTGCCAGGGTGTGCAAAACAGAGACCTGGGAAAAACAATTCTGGGTAAAAACCAAACAGAAAACAACACTGGAGGAGTGCTGGGGCTCTTCCCAAAGTGCATCCAGCAGGACAGAGCTCTTCCCCAGGAGCAGGGAACTGCCTCAACCTGACCCTGGCACTTGTGGTGGTGTTTTTTTCCTGCCCAAACTGCAGCCAGGACAAGCAGGGCGCTCGTGGCTGGCCCTGAACTGCTGCCTTATGCAATGGGGATTAATTGAAGTAGGTGGAGAACAATTTCTTGGCTGCTTATCAGGGGTGAGGCTCCAGGAGCTGCTTGGTGGCTTCAGATAGGTGAGAGGAGCTGGGGGCACTGCCCAGGTCGGGGAAATCATCTCCTCAAGCCCTGATAAACTTCAGCTCCCTCCCTCAGAGCTGCTCCCAGCTCCGGGCCTCTGGCTCGGCAGCAGCCACCCAGGAGATCCTGGATTTGGTTATTGCTTGGGCTGTTTGTTCTCCAAAATCCTGATTTTTGTTGTTCCTTGGGCTGTTTGTCCTCCTAAATCTGGTTTTTGTTATTCCTTAGGCTGCTTGTCCTTCTAAATCCAGATTTTGGTTATTCCTTGGGCAGTTTGGCCTGTTGAATCCAAGTTTTGGTTATTGCTTTTGCTTCTAGTTCTATTCAATCCTAATTTTTGTTATTCCTTGGGCTGTTTGTCCTCCTAAATCCTGATTTTTGTTATTCCTTGGGCAGTTTGTCCTGTTAAATCCAGGTTTTGGTATTCCTTGGGCTGTTTGTCCTCCTAAATCCTGATTTTGGTTATTTCTTTGGCTGTTTGTCCTTCTAAATCTGGTTTTGGTTATTCCTTAGGCTGCTTGTCCTCCTAAATCCAGATTTTTGTTATTCCTTGGGCTGTTTGTTCTTTTAAATCCGGTTTTGGTTATTACTTGGGCTTTTAGTTCTATTCAGTACTGATTTTTGTTATTTCTTGGATTGTTTTTATTGATTTTGGTTGTTCTTTGGGTAGTTTGTCCTCTTGAATCCTGCTTTTGGCTACTCCTTGGGTTGCTGAATCCTGGTTTTATCTATTTCTTTGTCAGTTTGTCCTGTTGAATCCAGGTTTTGGTTATTCCTTGGGCTGTTAGTCCTGTTGAACCTGGGTTTTGGTTATTCCTTGGGCAGTCAGTCCTGGTTTTATGGGCAGTTAGTCCTGGTTTTATCTGCTCCTTGGGCTGTTAGTCCTGTTCTACCCACAAGTGATGGGTGGCTGATGCAAACTGCAGCCGGTGTGGGCTCCTCTGGGCTGTGAACCCCTTCAGAGCAGCTCAGATCCACCAAAATAAAAAAAAGAAATCCTATTTCTCCATTCTCGTGTGAGAGCTGTACCCACCTTACATCCCTTTGCCATGAAGAGCTGCCCTGTTCCTGACCAAGCTGGAGCAGCAGGGTGTCTGTAAATTGATTTTTCTGGGGTGTGTGTGGCCCTGACAGCTACAGGAGATTCTGTTCCTTCATGGAAGCTGCTGGGGTGAAAGTGGGGAAAACTGGATCATCAATAACGGCTTACTTGGCTTTACTTCCCAAAACCACGTTGGTCCTGCACATAAATGTCACCTGCTGCTGCCAGGGATAAACTGGGATGAGACTGAGATTTTTCTCCAGGGCATTCCAAAATCCTGAGCAGCCTCCATAGGACGGGAAGGTGCAGAGACCGCGAGGGGTTGAATGGACAGCTGGATATAAAACCTGCTTTTAAATTCTGAGCTAATTGAGTGCATTGCTGCCCTCCCTGGGGGATTTTCCTGAATTTTTGGGTTCATTTGTAATTCACAGGGAATGTGGTGCTGTGGAACAGGGAGCTCTGCACGAGGCTGCCAAATTCCCTGGTGGAGGGTGATGCCTTTCGTGAGCACCAGCTGAGGCTGGAGTCTGAAATCCCAGCCAAATTTTTAGGGTTTTTAAAGTGTATTTACTACAAATTCTGTAAATTGGTTGCTCTAGACTTGAGTAAACCCAGCTTGCTTTTGTTATTCCGAGTGAAAGTCCTGAACCGAGCTCTGGTCCCTTCCGTGGGCTCACAGAGGGGGTGTGGAAGTGTTTTGGGGTTTGTGGGCTCCAAGGTTCAATCCTTAAAGGTTTTTATGGAAAGCTGAGCTGCTGCATGGCCTCCTGGCTAATTAATGAAGGGCTTGACGAGCTGGGGGGAATCCTTCTGCAGCTCTCCAGCCTCTCCTTGGAAAAGCAGGAATTCCCGAGGCCAGGGCGAGGCCTCCCCAGTGTTGGTGTTTTGGGGCCGAGGCTGCTCCGAGGGCCTGGTTTCTGTGTCATGGGCTGGAATCGCAGAATCATGGAATTCCTGAGGTTGGAAAAGCCTTCCAAGGCCATCCAGGCCTGCTGTGGCCCATCCCCACCTTGTCCCCAGCCCGGGGCACTGAGCGCCATGTCCGGGCCTTCCTTGGCCACCTCCAGGGCTCTGACCCCATGGCCTGTCTCAGTTTTTAACCTTGTCCACAGGGAGCACAGGAAGGATCTGTGGGCACTTTGCTGCTCAGGAGTTCCTGGGGTGGCTGTGGAGGTTTGAGGTTTTCACCCAGTGCTGACTGGGGTCCTGGGACCCCTCACGTGTTGTCATTGTCACCTCCAGGCCTTTGAGCCCTGCTGTCTGCAGAGCCCTGGAAGGAGCTCCAGGGAATTTTCCTGAGGGGAAAATTGTGTAATGAAGTGGTGGCAGTGAGCTTTGGAGCAGGTTTGGGTGCCAGGAGCAGGTTTGGGTGCCAGGAGCTCAGCTGGCTTAAAATCTGTGGCAGAAAAAAAATCCTGAGGGACAGAAATGCAGCTGGAATTCCCTGCCAGGTCCTCGGGGGAGAAAACCACCAGGAGCTGAGGGGAAAACAGGGACAAGGAACGTCCCAGAGCCTCTGGGGGACACTGGCTCTGCATTTTCTCGTTTTCAGGAGAATTCCTGCCTGTTCCCAGTTTTCCCAGCTCACCCTTCTAGGAACTGTCCCAGGCTGCCAGGCAGCTGCAGGAGGAACAAGCTGGGGCAGAGTCAGGGTGTTGAAAGCAGGAGAAAATTACAACCTTCCCTGGATTTCTTCACCCAGCCTTTGGAGCAGCCTCATTCCTTGGGATTTCCATGGATAAAGCAGAGCAGAGGTTGCACTTCCCTCCAGGATCAGCCTGGGTGTCGCAGTGGGAGCGTGGGCTCCATCCAGCAGGATAAATAAAAAATTAGGATTAATAAGGGACATCCAGGGGCTGAAGTGACCCCTTGGTGATCTCAGAATTGTGGTGGCTCTGAGCCCTGGCTTTGTTGCGTGGGGTGGGTAACCAAGGCCTCTCCCTGGTGTGCTTTGTTGCAGACACGGATGCAGAGCCTGCAGCCAGACCCCAAAGCCCAGTACAGGGGCGTGTACGAAGCTCTCAAGAAGATGGTGCTGACCGAGGGGTTCTGGAGGCCTTTGCGTGGGATTGATGTCACCATGCTGGGGGCTGGCCCTGCCCACGCCTTGTACTTTGCCTGCTACGAGAAAATGAAAAAGTCTCTCAGTGATATTTTCCAGCCAGGAGGAAACAGCCACTTGGCCAATGGTATTTTTGGGGTTTGCCCTAAAAAAAAACACCAAAACATTTGTGGTTATCAACCTGTCCCTTGCTTGTTTCTCACTCAGCCTGGTGCCCCTCCCAATCTAAACTCTTATTTAATCTCAAATTATTCCAGCACAATTCATTAATTTAGTGGGCAAAAGGTGTTCAGGTGCAGCTGTGCTGTTCCTATATTGCCATGGAATCCTTAAAGTTGGGAAAGATCTTCAGGATCAAGTCCCACCTTTGAAGGTATCACCTTAAAGATCAGGTGTGATCTTATGTTGAAGGCATCACCTCAGCCTCTGGAGGTTTGAATTCAGGTGTCCCTGGGAGCTCAGAGTGCCCTCCATTTTCTGTGTGCTTAAAATTTTAGCAGGAATATTTCACTTCTAAACCCAGCAATAGCAGCAGAAAGCCTGGAATTGAGCAGCCAGGGCTTTACCAAAGGGTTTATGCTGGAGATTCTCATGATTTTTCGGGGATGTGCTGGTGGGAATTTGCCATGGGGTCACTGAATTCAGTGAAGGGAATAAAATCCCTTCTTCTCGCTGCTCTTTGCTGGGAACACATTCCTGGGTTTGCCTTTCAAGTAGCTACAGGCCTGTGGTGCCAGCAGGAAAATCAGAGCTGTGGCTTCATGAGAAATGACCAAAAGTCATCTGGGCAAGAGAGAATTGGAGGTGGGAGCCAACATCAAAGGGAAGGAGTGGCTGCAGAGCCTCATCCCAGAGCCGAGCGCGGGATGGGTCAGGGCTGGCTGGGTTTGGCACAACCTGGGCACTGAGGCTTGGAAACCAGGCTGAGTAAAGGGATGAAAATCCCTAATTAGGGATGTGCTGAGGGGAGGGTAAACATTGCTCACTGCTCGCTCAGGCGCCGCGGGTGTCTGGGGCCGATGGATCCTTGGGAATTGTTGGGAAGAGCAAAGGTGGGGGCTGGGAGTGGATCTGGGGTTCTTTCAGGATGGGGTTCCTGCCCTGGGAATCTGTGCTGTGGCCCTGGATGCTGGGACCTGGGTGCTCCCTCAGCATGGATGGGATCCACCATGGATGGAGCCCCCTACGGATGGATCCCCATGCATGGGATCCACCATGGATGGTGTTCCCCAATGGATGGATTCCCCATGGATAGGAGCCCCCCCTGGATGAGATCCCCATGGATGGATTCCCATGGGTGTGTTCCCCTTGGATGAAGCCCTCCCAGATGGATTCCCCATGGATAGGAGCCCCCCATGGATGGATTCCCATGGATAGGAGCCCCCCATGGGTGGGATCCCCCTGGATAGATTCCCATGGATAGGGTCCCCATGGATGAAGCACCCCCCCCATGCCTGGATGGATTTCCCCTGGATGGATTCACATGGATGGGTTCCCACGGATGGGATCCCACTGGATGGATCCCCCTGGATGGATTCCCACAAATGTGATCCCCCTGGATGGTATCCCCCTGGATGGGTCCCCCTGGGTGGCAGTGATGCCTTTTGAGCCGGGTTTCGTTTTCTCAGGGCTGCTCTTCCTTGCAGGCATCGCTGGGAGCGTGGCCACGCTGCTCCACGACGCCGTGATGAATCCTGCTGAAGGTAATCCTGGGATTCTGGGAAGTGCTGCTCCCTCTAGGACACCCAGGGCCTTCGGTGCTCCTGCCCAGTGAATCCAGGCCTAAATCCCTCCTGGCTCTTCTCCCTCTGTCCCTTGGCAAGAATAGGAAGAAATCCAGGGCTGCCTCTGGCTGGGAGAGCTCCAAAACCACCAAACCCAGGGACTCATTCCTCTGTCCCTTGGGAGGAGAGGGAGAGCAGCCAGGAGGGATTTTCCCTGGATCTCTGTGGTGCATTGGGACTTTCCAGGCGAGGTGTCCCCTTTACTGGTGTCACCTTTACTGTCACCACTGTGCTGCTCCTTGGGGCAGTAGCTCTGGTTTTCCTGAAGCTTTGGACTAACCAAGCTGAGCTCAGGTTGTTGGATGAGCACACGGAGGGGCTGTGAGATTCCTGGGGAGGTGAAGTGGCAGGAGAAGGCCTGAGGAAAATGAGGATTAACAGGAAAATGCAGCTCAAGTGACAATGCTGCCACCTGCCAGCTCCTCAGCGTCACTGGGTTGTGCTCCTGAGTGGGCCCAGAGTTGGGAATCTCTGAAGGAGAAAACTCCAGTGTATCAAATCCTTTTAATCATGCCCTAATTAAATCAATTAAATGAATTGGCCTCGTAAGTCAGTGGAAGTCACTGCAGCCAGTGAGGCTGGAGGGGGGTGTGACACCCCCAGGTGATGCTCAGGTGTGACTTCACCTTCCTGCCCTCATCACTGCTGGGTGTTTGTGCATCCCCACCAAGGGTCCTGAGCAGCCTGGCTTAATGGGGAGAGCTGAGGGGTTATTAATTAACCCTGAGGAGAGGGGTTCATTAGAACTGGTGGGTCATTAATTGACCCTGAGGAGTTCATTAGAACTAAAGGGTCATTAATTAAGCCTGAGGAGAGGGGTTCATTAGAACTAGTGGGTCATTAATTAACCCTGAGGAGTTCATTAGAACTAAAGAGTCATTAATTAAGCCTGAGGAGAGGGATTCATTAGGAAGTGAGCTCTGAGCTGTCCCCTCACTGTGCTGAGCTCTGGGGGCACTGGGCACCTCAGGGGGATCAGTTTGGGTGGGGAAGGGGAGCTCAGGGCTGGGCCTGGGGTCACTCTGGGGGCTGTGCCAGCCAGACTTGACCCCGCAGCTGAGCAGTGTCCCTGTCCCCATTCCTGTTCCAAGCTCTGGGGGCTCTTAGGGGGTTCAGTTTGGGTGGGGAAGGGGAGCTCAGGGCTGTGCCTGGGTCACTCGGGGGGCTGCCAGGCCCAACCCTGCAGCTGAGCATGTCCCTGTCCCCACTCCTGTCCTGAATTCTGGAGGTGGTCAGGGTGTTTGGTTTGGGTGGGGAAGGGGAGTTTGGGGCTGTGCCAGCCAGGCCTGAGCTCGCAGTTGAGCATGTCCCTGTCCTGAGCTCTGGGGGCACTGGGCAGCTCGGGGGGATCGGTTCGGGTGGGGAAGGGGAGCTCGGGGCTGTGCCAGCCAGGCCTGAGCCCGCAGCTGAGCATGTCCCTGTCCCCACGCTGTCCCCGAGCAGTGGTGAAGCAGAGGCTGCAGATGTTCAACTCTCCGTACACGTCGGTGCTGGGCTGCGTGCGGACGGTGCAGAGGACTGAGGGCTTTGGAGCCTTCTACCGCAGCTACACCACGCAGCTGACCATGAACGTGCCCTTCCAGGCCATCCACTTCATCACCTACGAGCTGATGCAGGAGCACCTGAACCCCCACCGCCAGTACCACCCCCAGTCCCACATCGTGGCCGGCGCCGTGGCCGGAGCCGTGGCCGCCGCCGCCACCACGCCCCTGGACGTGTGCAAGACGCTGCTGAACACGCAGGAGAACACGGCCCTGAGCTCCGTCAAGATCAGGGGGCACCTGTCGGGCATGGCCAACGCCTTCAGCACCGTGTACCAGCTGGGAGGGCTGCCCGGCTTCTTCAAAGGCGTCCAGGCTCGTGTCATTTACCAGATGCCCTCCACGGCCATCTCCTGGTCCGTGTATGAGTTCTTCAAGTACTTCCTCACCAAGCACGCGCTGGAGAAGAAATCATCCTCGTGAAACAGGAGCGGGAGTCCCCTGGGCCTCCTCCCAGGCAGCCCAGCTGCAGTTCTGCTGCATTCACATCTCCACATCTCCCTGCCCGAGATTCCTGTGGTGCTCGGTCACTGAGTGCCCCAGGGGGTCCAGGGATCCCTGTCACTGAGTGTCCCCAGGGATCCCTGTCACTGAGTGTCCCTAGGGATTCCTGGTCACTGAGTGTGTCCCTGTCACTGAGTGTCCCCAGGGATCCCTGTCACTGAGTGTCCCCAGGGGTTCCTGGTCACTGAGTGTCCCCCTGTCACTGAGTGTCCCAGAGATTCCTGGTCACTGAGTGTCCCCAGGGATCCCTGTCACTGAGTATGTCCTTGTCACTGAGTGCCCCCAGGGATTCCCGTGGTGCTCCCCCAGGATTCCCAGTCACTGGGTGTCCCTGGGGATTCCTGGTCCCTCAGTGTCCCCAGGGATTCCTGTGGTGCTCCTCAGGGATTCCTGGTCACTTAATGTCCCCAGGGATTCCCATGGTGCTCCCCCAGAATTCCCAGTCACTCAGTGTTCCCAGGGATTCCTGGTCACTCGGTGTCCCCCTGTCACCAAGTGTCCTCAGGGATTCCTGGTCACTCATTGTCCCCTGTGATTCCTGGTCACTGAGTGCCCCTTTCCCTTCCTTAAACAACAACAAAAAAAGAGTTTATACAGACTTTGATATTAATATATATCTATTTAATAACTTTATTTTGAAGCAGTGAAATCGCAAGCTTCTCTTTTTCTGGAAATAAGATGGAAGATGGAGTTTACTCCTTGCTGAAGGTTTAGGTTATCCAACCTAAGCTGATTTTTGTTTTTTTGTTTTTATTTTTTTTTATTTTTACAGCAGAGAAACAAAAATGTCCTGGCACAGAAGTTAATTTTGTATAAATATAAAATAGCTGGATAATGTTTATCCTTTATTTTTCTATGTAGGCACTTGGGTGGTTTTAAAATGCTTTTACAGCTGGGTGCAAAGCTATTTTAAAAGGGCTCAGTTCTTCCCTCCTGTAAGGAAGACCCAAAATCACTGATTTTATGGCCAGATTGGCTTTAATTACCCAGGTGGTGGCCTGGCTTCTCCTCTGGGTGTCAAGGTACTTGGAAGTCCCTCGAGGGGACAAGGAATGGAGACATCACTTTGGGAACACGTGGGGCATCTCAAAATCCCTTTGTGGGGGAGAGGGGGAAATCTCAATTCCATTTTTTTTCAACTCTTGAGGATGTAGATTTTTAACCAATATTATTATTTTACGTTTTAAACTTGCTAAAGGTACATTTTTGTGGGGTGGGACGGCTGACCAGCCTTCATCCTTGCAGAGTTTATTCCCACTTTTTCCTCTCTGGAGCCCTGATCCCATTCCAGGACCTCTCCTGGGATCCCAGGGGGTGCCTGGAGCTGCTCTGCTCCCAGGAAAGGGAGATCCTGGAGCTGCTGTTTACAGAGCCCCTGGCAGCTCCAAACCAGCCCAAAAATCCTTGGGAAATTCCCAGTGCAGATCCAAGGGCACCTCCCAGCCCTCCCTGCTGCTCATCCCTGTCCAGGAGGGGCAAAAACCCCACCTGGAGGGGGAAAACCCCACCTGGAGAAGCTCCTCATTCCCTGGGTTTGGTTTTCCTGCTTGGAATGCTGAGTGGGAAGGGTGGAAGCCTCCCTGCTCCAGCTGGGAATGGCTTTAACAAACCAAATTCCATCCTCCAGCTGCTCCTTTGGGAGTTCAGGAGGGATTTTGGGATCCTGGATGTGCCAATTCCAGTTCCAGGCTACATTTCCCTTTTGAATCCAGGGATAAATCCATCTTTCCCAGCCCAAATTCCATCCTTCAGCTGCTCCTCTGGGAGATCAGGAGGGATTTTGGGATCCTGGATGTGCAAATTCCAGTTCCAGGGTCCATGTCCCATTTGGGAATGGCTCTTCCCAAAGCAAATTCCATCCTTCAGCTGCTCCTTTGAGGGATCAGGAGGGATTTTGGGATCTTGGATGTGCAAATTCAAGTTCCAGGCTCCATTTCCCATTTGAATCCAGGGATCAATTCCATCTCTCCCAACCCAAATTCCATCCTTCACAATTCCAGTTCCAGGCTACATTTCCCTTTTGAATCCAGGGATAAATCCATCTTTCCCAGCCCAAATTCCATCCTTCAGCTGCTCCTCTGGGAGATCAGGAGGGATTTTGGGATCCTGGATGTGCAAATTCCAGTTCCAGGGTCCATGTCCCATTTGGGAATGGCTCTTCCCAAAGCAAATTCCATCCTTCAGCTGCTCCTCTGGGGGATCAGGAGGGATTTTGGGATCCTGGATGTGCAAATTCAAATTCCAGGGTCCATTTCCCATTTGAATCCAGGGATCAATTCCATCTCTCCCAACCCAAATTCCATCCTTCAGTTGCTCCCTTGTAAGATCAGCAGCCAAGGAGGGATTTTTGGGATCCTGGGTGTGCAAATTCCAGTTCCAGGGTCCATGTCCCAATGGGAATGGCTCTTCCAAACCAAATTCCATCCTTCAGCTGCTTCTTTGGGAGATCCTGAGGGATTTTTGGGATCCTGGGTGTGCAAATTCAAGTTCCAGGGTCCATGTCCCAATTTGGAATGGCTCTTCCCAAAGCAAATTCCATCCTTCAGCTGCTCCTTTGGGGGATCAGGAGGGATTTTTGGGATCTTGGATGTGCAAATTTGAGTATCAGGGTCCATTTCCCATTTGGGAATGGCTCTTCCAAACCAAATTCCATCCTTCAGCTGCTTCTTTGGGAGATCCTGAGGGATTTTTGGGATCCTGGGTGTGCAAATTCCAGTTCCAGGGTCCATGTCCCAATGGGAATTGCCCTTCCAAAACCAAATTCCATCGTTCAGCTGCTCCCTTGGGAGATCAGCAGCCAAGGTGGGATTTTTGGGATGCAGTTCCAGGATCCACGTCCTCCCTGCCTGGGATGTCCCTTGGGATCTCGGGCTGGAATGTGGCCCTGGAGCTGTCCCATCAGCCAGGTCTGGTTTTTAGGGTGACCCTCAGCAGATCTCATCTTTTTCCCACAATTTTTGGAGCTGGAAAATGCAGGATCTCCTCTTGGGAGTGCCACGTGTGCCTTGTGGGAACAACCCCGGTGTGAAATGAGCTTTTTGCTGCCTTTTTTTGTGTCTTAACCTGAATAAATCCCTACACCAAAGGCTCCCTGTGCCTTAAAGTGGGAAAATCCCACTGGATTCTCCGGATTTGGTGGGACTGGAGGTCTCAGAGCTGAGATTTTTCTTTGAGAAACTGGAGAGTCACTCCCAGAGCCAGATCAGCCTGGAAAATTCCCATGGAGATGGAATTTGGGGAATTTAATGCTGAAATGTGGGATAATGTGGTTGATTGCAGCTTTTGGTGCAGCCTCTGGAATTCCTGCTCCATCCTCCTCTTCTTATATTGGATATTTCCTTGGATATTTCTGCCTTGGGAGAAGCTCCACTCCTCCTTGGAGTAATCTGGGAGTAGGGACCCAAAAATGCTGGATATGGGATGTGGGGAAGGGGTTTGGGCATCCTGGGAGCAAAAATGATCAGCCAGGATCCGTTGGGAATTCGCCCCTCCTCAGGCTGGGAGTGGGCAAATCCTTCTGGGAAATTGAAAATTCCTTCTGGGAGGAGGAAAATCCCTTCTGGGAAAAGGAAAATCCATCCTGGGAGGAGGAAAATCCATTCTGGGAAAAGGAAAATCCATTTTGGGAAAGGGAAAATCCCTTCTGGGAAAAGGAAAATCCATTTTGGGAAAGGGAAAATCCCTTCTGGGAAGGAAAATCCTTCTGGGAAAAGGAATTCCCTTCTGGGAGGAGGAAAATCCACTTGGCTGCCCCTGGATATCCAACAAAAGCAGCCCAGTTCTCATCATTGCTGAGCTCTCACCCGCAGCAGGAATATTCCAATTTTCAGCTGCTGGATCTGCTGGGAAAATCCCTTCCCAAATCCCCATCTCCGAAATCCCTGCCAAGTTTGCCTTTGGAAGTTGTGCTGCAATTCTGAGCTGAAATCCTTGATTTTAGCTCAGTCTCTGACCCAGTTCTGCCACAAACGCACAAAGTTCTTTAAGGGAGGATGAGGAACTTTCCCAGTTCTCAATCCCTTTTTTTTTTTTTTTTTATCCTTTGGATTTTTTGCCTTGGCAAAAATAAAATAAAATTTTAAAAATTTTTTTAAAAAGTGTTTTCTTCACTGTTTACCAATGCAGGATCTGGGTATGAAATGCTGCTACAGTTGTGTCACTGGAGCTCGAGGAAATAAAAATATCCTGATTTTTTTTGTCCTTTTGGAGTTGGTGGTGGTTTTTCCTTGGGAATGAGGGCGGGGCTGGCTCATCCCTGAGGGAATGCTGCCTTCTAGCGATGCCTGAGCTCTTCGGGAGGAAATCTGTACTGGGAGGGGGAAAATTCATCCTGGGAAGGGGAAAAATCTATTTCAGGAGGAGGAAAATCCTTCCTGGGAGAAGGGAAATCCTCCTGGGAGGGAGAAAATTCTTTCTTGGAGGAGGAAAATCTGTTCTGGGGGGAGGAAAATCCATTCTGGAAAAAGGAAAATCCATTTTGGGAGGGGTAAAATCCTTCTGGGAGGAGGAAAATCTATTTCAGGAGGAGAAAAATCCTTCCTGGGAAAAGGGAAATCCTGGGAGGAGGAAAATCCTTTATTAGGTGAGGAAAATACATTGTGGAAGAATGAAAATCTTTCTGGGAGAAGGGAAATCCTTCTGGAAAGGGAAAAAATCCATTTTTGGAGGAGGAAAATCCTTTCTTGGCTGAGGAAAATCCATTCTGAGAAAAAGAAAATCCATTTTGGGAGGAGGAAATTCCTTCTGGGAGGAGGAAAATCTATTTCAGGAGGAGGAAAATCCTTCCTGGGAGTAGGGAAATCCTTCTGGGAGAAGGGAAATCATCCTGGGAGGGGGAAACCTTCTGGGAGGAGGAAAATCCTTTCTTAGGTGAGGAAAATACATTGTGGAAGAAGGAAAATCTTTCTGGGAGAAGGGAAATCCTTCTGGGAGGGGAAAAATTATTTTTGGGAGGAGGAAAATCCGTTCTGGGGGGAGGAAAATTCATCCTGGAAGAAGGAAAATCTGTTTTGGGTGGGGAAAATCCATTTTGAAGGAATGAAAATCCTGGGAGGGGGAAAATCCATCCTGGGAGGAGGAAATCTTTTTGGGAGAAGGGAAATCATTCTGGGAGGGAGAAAATCCTTCTGGGTGGAGGAAAATCTATTTCAGGGGGAGGAAAATCCATTCTGGGAGAAGGAAAATCCTTCTGCGAGGAGGAAAATCCATTATTGAAGGGGTAAAATCCATTTTGGGAGGAGGAAAATCCTTTTGGGAGAAGGAAAATCCATTTTGGGAGGAGTTTTGCGGCCTGGCAGCTCCTCCTGGGGCTCACGCTCCTCTAGGAGCCGCTGGAGAGTTTTTGATCTCTCCTGGTCGGGAAATCCCAACCCAAACTCACGAACTGCGGCTCCTGCGGCGGCAAAAATTCCCAAATTCCCAATTAATTGGGAATTTCCCTCCCCTGGAATAAGCATGCGGGGAGAGAGCTGCTCTTTGCTGAGGTTTCTCTTAAATTTTCTGCAGGATTTGAAGGAAAAACCCCAGAAAATGCTGGAGCAGTTTTAGATTTTTCCTTCTTCTGCAATAAAAATGGGGAAAATTCCATTTATTGGAGTCGTTTCTGCCCGGTGCTGGTGCTGAGTGGGGAAAAA